GGGAATTCGTAGCCTAACAACCACAACTATGGGCCTGTCAGCTCACCATGTGCGCAAACTCGGCATGCGCAAACTCACCTGGAAAGCGGCGGGCTTCTGGTAAATGCCAGGCTCGCTCGCCTTGCCGACCAGCGTCGCGATTGAACCAGCGCCCTGGAAAACCTGATCACCTGAGCGCTTGTCGGCCTTCCACTTGGTGACGAGGTTGTTGAGGCGCTCATGGAAGAGAGCCTTGTCGATGACGATGTCGTCCGCCATGGTTGAAGGTGTGTGGAATAAAACCTCCAGATGGGTTGGCGGGGACGGGTAAGAGAGAGTTGAGAGAGAGGGAAAGGGAGAGGGGGAGAGAGACGGCGCTGATGGGAAAAGTCGCGAAGGCCTTGATGGCGACAACGACGCGAAGGCTTCCACGCGCTGCCCAGGGCCTGTGCGCAACCTCTCAACCCCCGAAGCGGCCTAGCGCCCTACTACCTTCACTATAGCTGTATAGTTACTTGTACTACGTGACTAACCCCCCTCCAGAGCTAAACTGCAGCCCCACATCCCGGCCATGCAGACGCAAATTACCAGCTAGTACAACAACACCATCGCCCTCAGAATTGGTCCCCTGTTTCTTTTCGTTTTTTCCCAGCTCGCCAATCGGTACGCTTCCAGCCAGTATTCCCAAGTCACTAGCCCGCTTGTGACCCTCGCACACGGAGCGCCTTCACCCTGCCTATATATATATATAGCCTGCCAACGCCCTCGCATGCACCTCCTACCTTCTCTCACCTCCCATGCTATGCAATGACAGCCGGCTCCAGTGTCCGCGCTGGAGTCTCTGTCCGCAGCGATGGCCCCAGTGATGGCGCCCCCGACACCCCGCAAGCACCCAACAAGGCACCAGCCACGGGCGTCCAGGCTGCGGGCATGCGAGCCGTCGCCGCCAGGATGGTCGCCTTTTACTTCCGAGCGCCCGTAAAGGCCTTTTTCAGGGGCAGGATCGACTACATGGGCTATGCCAGAGCCATCAACCCACATGTCATGGCCGATGCAAAGTGGTCGTGGAGAATGACCACGCCTGCCGTGCTCGCACATGCCATACGCACCGAAGGATGGGGCTTTATCCCCAAGCAGGTACTGCCGCCGCTTATGGCGAATACATGGTATGCATAATCAGCGTCTGGCCTACACAATGTCTGACACTGTGCAGCATTGGTGCAGTTCTGTATACGACATATCTTCACAGCCTGTCAGCCCTCCATGAACCATCCTCGTACCAGACCAAGCGTGTATACCCTCCCCCACCTCCGTCTGTCACCTTCACCGCAGGATTGATTGGTGGTGGTATTCAATCAGTGTTCGCTGCGCCATTCGACGCCCTCCAAACCCGCTTCCGCACCGCCGACATCCTCGAAGGCAAACACAAGACCATGTGGCACTATGCAGGCTACAAGTTACGCTCAATCGGTTTGCAAGGTATTTTTGCAGGCTGGACGCTGAGCTTTCTCAAAGATGCCTTCGGCGCAGCAGTCTTCTTCGGCACCTTTGAGACTGTCAAAAGCCAGGCATACCTCGAATTTGTTTCACATTACTACGGCAGCCGAAGTCGTGACACGCTACTGGAAAGTTCCATTCCCTACTTGCAGGAAGACTACGATGACCGTCCAGTAATACGGCCACATTACATGCTTGAGCCCATGTTCTTGCTCTTGGCCGGCATCTCAGCATCAGTAACATCTCAGCTCATCCAACACCCCCTGATGGAAGTCCAGGACGTCCATTATCGCCGACTTGAGGCTCTCGATTTTCAGGCCCATCAGGACAATAAGCCCTCACACATTGTCCGCCGATATTACCATGCCTACGAAGAGACGTTTGCGCAATGCAAGGTTCTAGCCAAACGTGCTGGAGGGTGGAGAAACTACCTATACCGCGACTTCTTCATGAGCACGATAAAGCAAACGCCCAGTACAGCTGCTGGACTCATCGTGTTTGAAATTGTTCGCCGAAAGTATTCTTTCGAGAACGAGGAGGTCATGATCAATCATGAGGATGCACGTATTCTGTTGTCGTGAAGAACAGGTTAATTGTAGCATTGCGCAGCATCTTGCATAAGATACCCAGGAGTGAATTTTAGACAGATAGACCAGTTGTTCATAGCTATAAATAGGCAAATCTCACATCACAGTATACTGAATCACAGACACAAATCACACTCACTAACATGGTAAAGGGTAATCGCATGGGTGGTGGGCTTCATGCTCGGTATTCATGCGCTCAATCAGCCGATTTAGCACGTCATTCACAAACAAAAATTCAAGCCCCTCAGTCGGATCCGAGACAAGTGCCGAAGTACTAGCTATGCGTCAACACCTCGGATAGATAGATCACCTCTCGGTATCTCTGCAGCATTTGCTGTCTATCCCACATCCAAGTTTCCTCCAGATAGGTCTTCTTGAACCTCAAACTCACGACAATGGACTTGCAGCAGCCAATCAAGCTCGCCGTGCTCGATGACTATCATGGTATAGCATCCAAGCACTTTGCTCACATTGATCCATCAAAAGTTGAAATCACAAATTTTTACGACACGCTACCCTCATATTCACACCCTAGGACTACAGACGAAGACCGCAAAGCCCTTGTTGACCGACTGAAACCATTTGCCGTTCTTTCAACGCTGCGCGAACGCACCGCTTTTCCGGGCGAGCTACTGCGTCAATTACCCAATCTGAAGGCCATATTTGCGACTGGCGGTAAGTTTGAGTCCTGGGACCTGAATACGATGAAAGAGCTGGGAATGACCGTTTACGTCGCGCCTGGCAAAGGACGAACGGACGGCAAGGGCAGCGTCCAGTCACCGCGATCGCTACCAATCAAGCAAGGAGGGGGACATCCTACTACGCAACACGTCTGGGCACTCATCCTCGGACTTGCACGTAACGTTGCTGCCGATGACGCAGTTGTAAAGGGAAAAGGTGGACCTGCAGGCTGGCAGACGGAATTGGCAGTGGGTCTACAAGGCAAGACTCTCGGACTCGTTGGGCTGGGTAGAATCGGCGCTCACGTCGCTAGAGTGGGTGTTCTCGCATTTGGCATGCGCATCATTTGCTGGAGTGCGAACTTGACACAAGACAAAGCCGATGCATTGGCGCAGGAATACGGGTTACCAATCACAGGTGCAGGCATGCTTGCCGAGCATGAAAAGACCTTTCAAGTAGTCAGTAAGGAAGAGCTGTTCCAAACAGCAGACGTAGTATCACTCCACTACGTACTCAGCGACCGCTCAAGAGGGATCGTATCTGCGCGCGAACTGGCGTCTATGAAATCTTCTGCCTTCCTAGTCAATACATCCCGGGCTCCCCTTATCGACGAAGCTGCATTGCTGGATACATTACAGAATGGGCGGATTCGCGGTGCGGCCCTTGACGTATTCGATATTGAGCCTCTCCCGGCGGACAGCCCCTGGCGGAATGGGGACTGGGAGAGAAAGGGGAAGAGCAGGGTTCTTTTGACGCCGCATATGGGCTATGTTGAGGAAGGAACGTTAACGGTATGGTACGAAGAGACGGCAGAGAACTTGGAGAGGTTGATTGAAGGAGGCGAGTTGCTACATCGGCTAATCTGAAGACATGGTAAGGAGGATACGGATTTGAAGAGCCACACGCAAACTGAACTCATGGGACCTTATCTAGGCTGCATAGCTCTGAATTGTTTTTCTCCCCCCAATCTTCTTCAAGCTTCATCCTAGTTCATCACTCTTGCTCCACTGCCTAACTGTAGCTTTCTCCAGTCAATCTATCATTCTTAGCCTGTGCCCCCATACTCCAAACTCCCCCATTTTGCACATGTGGTTTCCGCTTGATCCACTCATACCACTCCCCCGCCACCCTTACAGCATTTATATTTGGCCATGTCGTTTCCAAAGAATCCAATGCATTCCTGATTAATGATGTGGAGTTGAATTCTAGCACAAAAACAGTATAACTACTAGGGAGGAAGTGTTGGAAAAGATTGGGTATGCTGTATCCTCACGTCAATGGCGTTGGCTTTGTCTTCAAACACGTGAATCAAGCCACGAACACCTCGGTACATATGTAAACAAAGCCGCGATGCCCAAAATATGTCTTAGTCCTTTCAATTGTCTTCCGCCTTTTTACTCTATAAATCGCTGTCCAAATCCTGCAAGAATAACAATCTAAACAAACAGCGGCCATCGGCAGCATCTCACAATCAAGGCGTACAGCCTTTCATTTTACCATCAGTTCATGGCGAGTAACTTAACAAGATATTGAGAGTATTTTGGCGGTCCATGAAACTCAAAAATGTCGCTCGCGCATCACCTGCGCACCATAGGGCGCATACCCGCCTCCGTAGCGGAATGCGGCTTTTTGGTGCATCAACAACAGTATTTTCGAAAAACTCTAACATCGCAACATATTAACGCATATCTCACTACATTTTCATTCGGGAGTGCAGCTCATCGGTTATCTTCTACTATTACTTCACCCAATCACGCAATTGTCGACAGTGTGATAAAAGGTGCAGATGCTCGTCGTCGCTCCTTCTGGAAACCTCGAAGATTTCTCGCAACAACTTCCTTTACGAGAACACACTCGCCTAAAATAATACCAACGAGTACGGGTGCGGGTGGGGTTGAGAACGATAGGGGTACTTCGAGCTTTTTGTCAACCTGCGAGAAATTCTCACAAGCTTTAAACAAAAAACCTATAATTCAACTCCCGATAACTTACAAGACGATCGATGGAATATCGCCTTGGAACAACAAGAATGAGGGTGAGCCTGTAGAGCAAGTCCATAAACATATAAGTAATAGGAGCCATAGCCCTGGACCACGAAAGTACGTGGCCCATTGTGGAAGGCACTACACCAGACAAGGAGACAAGAAGAATCATGAAAATAGTTGCGTCAAATGCAGAGTGATGCAGAAACAGGAGAGAGATAGAAGTCAAAGCCATCGCGGACTCATAAGTTGGGTAAAAGATCTCGTTGCGAGCATGCTGGAAACAGAGACTGCACACGGCGCACTGGATGCGAAACATGATAACCAAAGTCACACCCAGAAGAGAAAATCCCAGGAGATCGATCGTAACACTACCCAGCTATTGGATGTTGAATTATCCCGGGTTGCCACATCAAAGCTAACGCCATATGACGAGCAGGGCTACATCTATATCCTTCGCGATTGGGAAAATGGTCTTTTCAAGATCGGATTTGCCAAAGATCCTAAATTACGGATTAAGCAACACAATAAGTGTGGTCGAGACCTGAAAACGGTTCATGTGTCACATCGCATTAAGTGGGCAAAGCGGGCCGAGCGGCTAGTTAAGTTGGATTTGAAGCACTTGTGTAGGCCTTGGTTTTGTTCATCATGTCAGCAACGCCATGGGGAGTATTTCCAGGTTACCGAGGAGAGAGCAAAAGAGATAGTAGAGAGATGGGTAGACTGGATTAATAGGTGTCAGCCTTATGGTGCAGATGGGAACATCAATCCGTTATGGAATCATTTGATCCAGTTCAGCAGAACACCCAAGCAAGCGATGCGAAATTATGACCATGAAGCCCGATGGGCGCACTGGAGTTGGATGTTATCCTCGCCTTCTGAAGACGATTTGAAGGATTTGGCTCAATTGGACGGCTGAAAAATCCTTGATCAAGCTACAAAAATACTAATATAGAGACTATATGTCAATTTGAATGATATGACTAACGTGACGGATAAGCGAGTCGGTCAGGCAAGCGAGTCGGTCACCCTACCAACTTTGCGCACCTCTGCGGGCATATATCTCAACAACACAATAGTATAACAAATATAGAGTAACAGAGTGAATTAAGCAGTACTATTAGTATCTTTCTTACACGTACGT